GGGTGGGGAACTGCATGGGTTGCATGTGCACAGGCCGTGGTGGTGGCTGGTGCTGCTGCTGGGGTGTTGGTTGTGGCTGGGGTGGTGGTGGAGGAGGTTGCTGCTGCTGTAGCTGCTGCACTGAAGGGTGGGGTGGGGGAGGCAGGGGTGGTGGAGGTTGGGACTGCACCTTCACGGAAGGGAGTAGTGGTGTAGGGGGCTGCACCTTCTGCAACTGCTGCAAGTACAGCTGCATATGCATGGAGGTGAGGGGCGGGGCAGGTGGCTCTTCATCCTCCTGCAGCAGCACTTGTGGGGGCTGGGCCATGGGAGGCTGCGGGAGTAGTGGTGGCTGGGCCAAGGCAGGTGACACAGTTGGGGGTCGGGTGGGTTTGGGGGGCAGGGCAGCAGCTCTGTTGCTGGGCCGCGATGGCTGCTGGGGCAGTGCGTTGTGCAAAGCTGCAAGGACCAACAACATAGCAGTAAGTGGGGCCCACAGGCTGTAGTCTGGTCTTTCTGTTCCATCCTAACTTCCCACTGGTCTCCCTCCAACCAGCAATCTCCCTCACCAATTCCAGAGCAAGAACAGTTCCTAGAAAGGTCGACAAGATCAGCCCTTACCACTGCCAGCTTCCACTGCCCCTTCCTAACATGAGCTCTCAGGGATTCTCCCTGAATCCCCAGGTATGGCCTCTCTGAGACAAGGGGAAGTGTATGCCCACCCCTAAATATACGAGGAACACCTTTTTTAAATCTCACGTGGTGCCAAATCCAGCAGAAAACTAAGTCACTGTCTTGTGTCTCAAAGTAGTAATTCTATGCTAAATCTGCCCTGGGGTGAGAAGGGCTCTCATGTATTTCTCCCAACTTTTCTGGGAAGCTGATGACTTCACCTTACAAACACACTACAGCTGAGAGGAGTTAGGCAAAACGCCTGTACCCCATGGTCCAACCACAGTGGAAAGGGGTCTCCTGACGCTCACCTGGAGGAGAGACCACCGAGTGCTGGTTGAGATGAGGTGGAGTGCTGTGCTCGGGCGCCTGGGGCAGGTGGGGGGGCAGCTCAGGCTGCGGCAGGTGCAGGATGGGCTGGGTGAAGTGGCCTATAGGGTCGAAGACGCTGCCTGGGAGCTGAGGCTCCAGGACAGGCACCTGGGTGGCGATGAAGGGTGGAGGCGAGGACTTCATTGTGGGGGCCCCTTGCTGCGGCATGGAGGTAGGGGTTGGTGGGGGTGGGGGTTGCTGCTGCTGCTGCTGCTGCTGCTGCTGCTGCTGCTGCTGCTGCTGTGGAGGTGGAGGTTGTGAGGGTTGCTGGGGAGGCGGCGGGGGCTGCTGGGGCACGGAGACTGGGGCCTGCTGCATCTGCTGATGGTGGTGGTGGTGGTGCTGCAGGCAGGCAGACAGACAGACAGCTAATGTTAGGCAGGCAGAACCCAACAGGCCAGATCCAGGGTTTCTTCTCCCCCATGGCCCACAAAGAAAGGTGGCCACTGCTCACCAGATGGCAGTCACCCCTGAGACCACATACCTTCTTCTGCTCCCTCCCAGGGTGCCCCTTCTTTTTTGACTTTGGAGCAATCTCTGTGGAGGAAAAGAGAAGGTGGTGAGGTTCTGGGGAGAGCACTGTAAGGTAGCTAGGGACACAGAGCAAGAAGAGGGTGAGCTCAGAAGCAGGGCCGTGACCATAAGGGTGGGTGACTGGATTCTGTCTAGGATGGAGTCAGTCACAGGGGAGGGAAAGACATGTGACATGCAGGGTGTCATCTACCCAACCACTACTTTCCTGGTGGGAATAATGCCTTAAGCCCAACGCCCTGCCTCCCTGCAGCTGCAGACAAGTGGCTCCATGAAAGCACAACACCCATGAACAGTGGGACTAAGCTACAAAAACTACCTTGTTCACTGTCTCTCCTTGCTTACTAGTTACTATGGTGACTGAGTGGACCAGAACCTGCTGTATTGGAACTATGATGTTCAAATTGACATCTATTTGACAGGTTAGCAAAGTTCAGAGAATTTAAGGGACTTGAACCAGTCACACAGCCCAAAATTAGGAAAATGGTGGCCTCCACTGCGCTGTCTGGGGAGGTGAATGCTCCAGTTCTTCTGAGGGGAAATAGTGATGCAAGTAGGAGAGAGAGACTAATGGATACTTGCTAGCAATGGCCACAATCTGGCCATAAAGCTACAGGACAGGTGAGGAGCATGCTGACATGTGGGAAGGACTCAAGGGCACCTAGGGCAGCATGTCAGGGGAGGGAGATAATAAAGAGGGTTGGCCAGCTGGCCTCCTCAGGATGACCAGAAGCAAATGGAGAGTGTCACTGTCATGGTCAACAGAAGAGGAAGCTGCCACCAGTTTCCCTTTCTTCCTATTGAACCAGCCTCTGAGAAATCCCTGTGTTGGAATGTGCCCTGGCTCCTCAGGAGTCAACAGCTTGCTGCAGTTAATTATGTGCACAGGTAAGGGGTACACCTGCTTCTGTTAAGGAGGACTTTAGAGCCAGTTCATCCCCTCTGCCCCTACTCTGTTAGGAAAGCTTTGCCAGCTTCATGTTCCTTGCCAAACACGGCTAAAGGTTCAAAGAGGGGAAGTCAGAACCAGGGACTAGGAAACAGTCTCACCAACCATCAGGTGGGAGGTATGACCATGGTGCCTTTTGGATTCCTGTCACCGAGGCACCACATGGCTCTGCCTGGCACCCCCTGTACTTCTTGCCAGGGTGCTGATGCTTGTTGTTGGTGTTGGAGGGTACGTTTTGCCCAAAGTGAGGTTACCTCTGCCTGTAGCTGCTTCAGGAAAAGCTGTGCTAAGCTGCTGTGAGGTGTATGGCTTCAGGGTGCAATATGCACCAAAAGGGATGAGAGGGGACCTTGTGTCCTGTAAGAGCTCATCATTCCATTCAAGAGACAAGACAGTGACACAGAATGCAGCAGCTACAGACACATGTCCGCATACGAATGCAGCAACTGGAGACACCTGGGACATGGGAACTGTAGGTCGCAAACCCGGACATGGGGATGCCAGGATACAGGGTTCAGGATTCCTTGGGATCATACCTGGTCATAGGGACACGCTTGAGGGTGAGACATAAACAGTGGAGTTTGGGTGATTTGCAGTATGAGAGCCGCAGGGCAGCACTGTTGAGTTGGGGAGAACACTGGGAGTCCAAAACCAAAGGAACCTTTATGTGGGGGGAGAGCAGAGTGTGGTATGCAGAGGCAACCAAGCCAAGAGCCTGAGAGTGCTCCAGGACTGGTTCTTCTATCAATACATTTCTCGATCAGCATGGACTGCAGTAACAGAAACTGCAGCTTCAGGAAGGGCAGCTGCTGGCAATAGGGGCTTGCCTTTGAGGGGCATGGGAGCAAGGGGAAGGCAGTGAGGGCCAGTGAGTAAAGTCTGACCAGGAGATGACATCCTGTGTTCCAGTAGGGGAAGGCGAGGATGGCCTCAGGCTGCAGGAAGCAGTTTTCCCTACCATAAATGAGGGATGCTTGTTCTGAGCTTGCTTTCTCCACGGTTGTAGGCAGAGAGTCCCATATAAGAACGTGAGGGGACAAAGGACAATGATGAGGCTTGTGTGTTTGTACTGGGGAGATGGGGTGACCAGGGTGCAATATCAGCTGCCTTGGAAAGGCCACTGGGAATAACCCAGGCCTCTACTAAACATGGAAGGGGGAGGGAGGGGAGAGTGGCCAGGCCTTGAGTAAGAGAAAGGGCGAAGTGCACACAGACCACTAGGATCCAAGGACTAGATAGAGGGGCCGGCGGAGGGGACCAAGGGTGTAGAGCTGCTTGGGATAGCTGCCTCTGGTTTCGTGACCCAAGCCTCTGATGGGAGTTGTCCGTAGGAAAACAAGACAGAAGTGCACAGCTTCACAACACACCAGCCCAGACACCCCCACACAAAACTCTCTAGAAAGGGTTACATGAAGATGGCCTCAAGTACTGTGTGATCTTTATTCCATGAAAATCTTGAACTGAACACAAATTTCATCTTTACATAGGTTAATTGTACAAAGAATTAAAACGGTTTTTTTTTGTAAAATCTGATTAAAACACTGATTTCTTCCCCCCACCCCACCCCAACTTAAGGGAAGGAAACAGGATAAAGGGGAGGACAAAGGCAGGGCAGAGCACAGAGCCCCTCAGCTAAGCTGATAGGGAACCTCCCACCCTCCCATAGATCTCCCTTAGCCCCGCAGGCTGGCTGGTATGTCAGACTTGGCTGGTACCTCCCACTGCCACACCAGGGGCTGCTGACAAGGAGCAAGTAGTCCTTGGTTTCTCTGCTTTGATTCTGGAACAGTGGGCACAGGTGACAGCTCAAGTCTAAAGATCATTCAAATTCTGTCAGAAGCCCAATGGACAAGAAGAATGGCACCCCTGGGCAGTGGGGGTATTCGGACCTTTGCAGCTGAGAGCTAGCCCTTAGCTAATACTATGACAATCCAGGCTGCAACTTATTCCAAGAAAGCAGATCTTCCTGGAAAGACAATGCCAAGAGCATGCCAAGGTCATGTGAGAGTCTCCAGGCCTGAAGCCCCCCAGTCCAAGCCAGGTACAGCTGCCCTAGGAACATATCAGGCGCAGCTCAAAATAAGTCTGTTTGGCAAATGGAGCTGGAGTGGAGGCTGACTGGCCAGATCAGGGAGCACTAGGAACTCCCAAACAACACTGCAGGGTCCTAGGAAGCTCTGGAGAAGCTGAGCTAGAACCCAAAGCTAAGATTGGACTAGGGCAGTTACAGTTGCAAAGAGAATGGGGAGGCGTAGCCCAGGGGCTTGCATCACCATGGTGAAGTGAGCCTCCTCAAGCCTGTTTCTAGCTCCAGGAGAAAGTCAGGCCTTTTAGAAGCACACACAAACTACACTTAAAAACCAAAAGGAAAAAAAAAAAAAAAAAAAA